TCGATCGTTGTGAGCTTCAAATGGGAGGTGGAGGAGGAGGATTGTGTGAGCTGGATTTGGATCTTTGCAGGAGGAGGAGGAGATGACGACATCTGCCCGGTTCTTTTAGTTGTGAGCACGAATCGGGGTTTGATTCACAGATGTCAGCAGGCTCCCTTCTGGACCTGAGAAGTAATTTCTTCCAGTAATGCTTCTGCTGAAGCATGTAGATTGTTCTTATCATGGCAGGAGGAAAGGAAGAGCAAAGAAACTCACGGACCGGTGACACCCCGTTTCGATTATTCTAACATGCTTTACACGGGGCTGCCTTGGAAAACGGTCCAGACACTGCAAGTGGTTCAAAACAGAGCTGCCAGTAGGTGCCAGCACATAACTCTGGTCTGATATTAGTGACAGTGGGTACCAACTGAAGTCCAGCCCTGATTGCGGTTTAAGGCTGGGCTATTTAAAGGCATGTCTCCTGCTGTATACACCTGCCCACACCTTCAGGTCATCTGTGGAGGTCCTTTCCTGAGAGCCCTCTTTGAAAGAGGTGAGAAAGGCTCACGAGGAGAAGACCTTTTAGCTATATGCTCCCCAGAAAGGTTCACCTGGCGTCAATGCTCTATTCCTTTGGACACCAGGTCAACACCTTTTTATTCACCCAGTTTTTAAAGTGTTAGAGAATATATATATTTTAATTATTGTATTTTAACTCAAGTACTGTGGTCTACACTGTTTTGATGTTTTAATTTTTTTAAACCATCCTGAGATTTCCTAGATATATAGATGGTGTAGAAAAATCTTTAAATAAATAAATATGCAAGCAAGGCATGGAGTGGGGAAACACTTAAATGTTAAGAAATCTCCAGTCCAATTAAAGAAAAAAGGTGCCATCCGAACAGGCTTCCATTCATGCTGCAATGTTGTGGGGAGAGATCGCAGCTCACCGATCACAGGATGCCAAGCGGCTCCTGATTTGCTCCGATTTTTATCGGGTGTCCGGTCTCCTCTTGGAACACAAACAGGAAAGTCGGGACTTGTATCGCTGCTATGCCTTTTTCTGAATCTTAGGTTGGGGGATTTCAAAATACTGTAGCAGCAACATCCCTGTCAAAGAAACCCCAATGCTTTTCCCCAGAAGTACAATCTTCAAATTCATTTAGAAGTCCTCAACTGGGGTTATATTTGGCCTCACGATGAACAGAAGCTGCATTTCTTTGTCTAACCCTTAAACAACGTTGCTTCGGTTGAGCAGGTTATTTTTCTTGCCCAAGGGGGACCCAAGATGGCTGGGACAGGAACGGCCCTCGGGCACCCCTTGTTCCCCGGAGACCTTTCAGGGCACCTGCCAAAGGGCCCCCTCCTTTTTCAGACTTCTTTTCCGACCAGTGGCTCGGACTGCCGCCAAGGCGCTCTCAGCGGCCCCAGAAGGCAGCGGCTGTGAGGCTGTGGATCACTTCGCTGGCGCTCAGCCCACCTCTGCCCTGGGCCTGGGTTTGAGCGGGCTCCCTTCTGCAGTGGCCGCTGGGTAAGGCTGCCCAGGACAGTTCCTGGCACCGCTGAGGGGTGCTCGTGGCCCAGAGAGCCGCCGACTCCTGCTCTAAGAGCTAACCCCTTAAAAAGCGGGGGATTCACCCCACCCATCAGACGCCTGCCCCTTCCAGTTACCCCATGTAATTGCATGCACATTTGTGTATTTAAATTATGCATGGCATGCATAGTTGTTTATTTAAACAGGCTTGGTGCGAAGCACTGTGGAAGCCTCGGAACCTGGAGGTCCGAGGGCCTCTGACGGTGGGCAGGAGGGGCTTGATTTCTAACTCCCTGCTCCTCCCATCCTGCGTATTCTCCCACATCAAGCCGTGGCACTCTGGGCAGGGCAGGAAGTGGGCCGGAACAGCACCCGGCTGCGTTGTGCCCGGGTTCCTTGTCTCCTCTCCCTTTCCGACCTCTCCGGAGGACCACTTTCCCTTTCTCTGAGGTCCCTCTACGACTTTGGAGAGGCGGCGGCTGCCGTTCCTCCCACGCCAGATGCGAGGGGAAAGGTGGGGATCTGTGGGAAGACCCCAGGCAGAGCTGTCCTGCTCCGTCCTCTCAAACCTGAACCACTTACGCACCCTGTCGCTGCTGGCCAGGAGCCAGAGCGCCGCACTCTTAAATTCTGATCTGCGCATTTGCCCCAGAAGTATTGGACGAGGCCATTTGCCTTTCACGAAGAGCAGGTTCCTCAAGGAAGCGCTTTCTCGGTGGGGACCCCCCTCTTGGAGCATCTTCTCCCAAGCAGGTGGTGCCTAATCCTTTCCATTTCTTCGGGGCCCTTTCTCTGTTTTACCGGCTGTTACTGTGAGCTCTTCTCTTTAAAGCTGATTCCCCGAGCACTCCTTTCTCTACTTTTTCTTTTTCCGGTGTGCTGCGATGCCACATTGCTGTTTCATCACTGCTGATGAGGATGCTGAGCAGCTCCCCCTAAACCCCACAAGTAAACCCCACAATGCCCCACAAGTCTCAGTAAACTGTGTGCAGTTGAAGGGTTTTAGCTACATGGCAGGATATTTAACAGGAAAGTGGATGCACTGTTAGCATGCACAGGGAAGGGTTATTGGGCAATATCAGAATACGTTTCTTGTATCATCTGACACCACAGGTACTTCCACCAAAAATTTGTTTTTATAGGATGCTTTGCTCAAGGGCTATATGCAGAATATGATCCGCTTTCGAAGAATTTTTCAGTTATTTACAGGGGTAAGAGAATCCAGCATGCTATTAATTTTCAGAATTAATTTTTTGGCCTGCACCACTTCCTGACATTTAACGTCTCCTTTTTTTGGCAGAAAATGATGAGTATTTCCCTTCCGAGGTGTATTATTATGGTAAGATGATCTTTGGGAGATAAACCTCACCTGGGCATGTGGTCATGTAAAGTCAGCCATCTCTCCAGAACTGTAAAAGTAACAACAACAAACAAAAATAAACTCTAAAATCAGATGCAGGATGTCAGGCAGTTTCCATGAGGCCAAGCCGGTGTGACGCAGCCCGTTTCTGAGGTGGAGGCTGGTTCCTGGTCAACCTGCCTGCTCGGGAACTGCGCAGTGGAGCGGGGCCCCAGCAACGCTGCCAAAGATCCCGGGATGCGCAGGGCAGTCTCGGGCTGCAGCCTGGGGTGTCTTTGCAACCAGAGCCCCCCACACCTGAGGAGACCACAGGACCTCCTCGTGACCCAGGCGAGGGCCGGAGGCCCCAGGGACTAGGCTCGAGGGACGGGAGACCCTCCTGCCACCCCGTTGCAACCGAGTCTCGACCCGGTCTGGTAACGCAGGAACCTCCTCCGGACAAGGGGTCAGGCTTGAGGTCTTGGGTGCATCTAGGGAGGAGGTGTCCGGCAGCCCCAGAGCCCCCACGGTGCAGCTTGAGTGCTGTGGGGCTCCCTGTGTTCCACCATCTCACACTTCATCCTCAGGATGCTGGAGACCCTTTGGGGGAAGCCATGGCAGGTACCCTTTTTCAAACCAGCGCTCAGAAATCCGCCACGTTCTACGATCGTCTTCATCGGGGTTTTCTTTTTGCCTTCTTTTCCAGAAAATTCCACATACGATTATGACAATCACACGATGGATTACTATGACACAATGATGCCCGATGACGGGAGTCACATCCAGGCGAGTTCACATGCAATGGGAGGGCTGTGGGGCCGTACGGGGAGCAGCAGGCCGGAGGGCTGAGCAAGCCCACAAGCCTGGAGACTGGCCGGAGCCAACCATCTTTGCTCTCGCAGGCAGCGGCTACAGTGGTGAGCCCTGCTTGGACCATACCATTCCGACCGGAGACGCGAGCCTGTGGGGCCCAGACGAAGGCCGCAGCCGTGCGAGGAGTGCTTGCAGGGGGGCATGCGGGCCAGTGGGGGCCTCCTCAGCCCGCCGTTCAGAGCTTGCCCTGGAGAGAACAAGCCTTCATTTGCTCACGGGCCTCGGTACATGATGCTGGCTTGCCCCGCAGAGGGCACCCTGACCTAGATTGACGGACGTAATTCTGTTTCCTTTGGCAGAATTTTGCAAACTCTACCGGTGCTTTGCTGCTGTGCCACAACCTGCTGTTCCTCCCTCTTCTGTGCCTCCTCCAGCCGGCCGGCCAGATATGACATCAGAAGGTACAGACGGAGCTCCCGCGGCACTACCTGGGCAACGAGGCCCTGCAGGTGTGGATTTCTCGACCTGGTTACACGTTTCAGAGCTCAAAACCAAAGCCTGTGGGTCCTTCACATGGGTAGAAGCTGCAGTTCTCCACGCAAAGAAAGAGAAAACCGGGCTATCATCCAGCCTGAAAACACTCACACACTTTTTTAACTAATGAGACAACTGGCCAAACTAGACATGCTTTAAAAATGACATGATCCTGGGGAGGCAAATTTAATTAGGACCGCTTTTTATGAGCAGGGGGGGTTTAAACGCCTTTCCGCAGCCCACTGTGCATCATCGGAGGATCACTGTCCCTGTTCCCCTGCCAGCTTTCAAAGGAAGATTCCAACTGGGGTCAGGAAAGGAAGTCAGAAAAGAGCACTTTAAAACTTCCTGGAGAACAGCGTTGAAAAGCTTCAGAACTTCAGAGCCACCATTCCTAAAGATGGAACCGAAGGCCAGACGGACATGCATGTCCAGGCCTGATAAGACGCCGAGTCTGCCTAAGGGGTCTCTTTGGCTCTGAGGATTTGCAAAGCACACTGGGCTTGGTAGACATGCCTTGGATGGGTGGCTTCGTTCGGCTTACTGCATTTTCTCTTCCATCTTTTGCCCCACAAGGAACTCCGTGTAAAACAGTACCCTCCTCTCCATCTTATCCTCACAATAACAACCCTGTGAGGGAGCTTGGGCTGAAAGTCTGTGACTGGCCCAAAGCCACCCACTGAACTTCATGGTCGAGCAGGGACTAGAATCTGGCTCTCCAAAACGCGAGCGCAACCCCAAAACCTCATTGTCTCTTCTATGTATTTATCGTGGTAACTAGATAAAAAACCTGCAGCGATATCTTTCATGGATTCTCTTTATTCTCCCTTTTAGCTCTGTGTGTCCCAGACATGATACCCCTGGATTGCTTGCTTCAGTAGAAGATTTTTTCTGTTTTCCAAAGAGGAACTTCCTCATGGTTGTGGATCCAAACCAGATTCTTGCTCAGTGCCAGCGCTGAAAGGGCCAGGAACCGTCTCCGATCACACGGCGGGTTGTGCTTGTCTTTCTCACAGAGCAATGGGCACGTGCCCTCCATGGACTTCCTCTGAGAAATCCCAAGGGAACATCTCAAGCAGCTCCACGGCAGGAAACATACCACGATTCCTGTGACCCACGCCATAAATAACAGCCACCCAAAACCAGCTTGCCTGCAATGTGGTTCCGTGCGGCACGGGCAAAATCCCGAGGATCTGGGCTCATCTGGCCTTTGCCAACATGCTAAACTTCGCTCGGATCCCTACCACGTGCTCTTGCGTCATGGGCTCTGCTGACTGGTCCAACGGCGGCAGCACATTCTGAGCAAAGCTCATGAACTGGACGCCACGAGAACAGGCAGCCCTGCACAGAAGGAAATGGGAATGCCTTTTAACACTTTGTCCAAGTTGCTTTCTCCTGGACTCTCACGACTACGAAGTGTACATGCCATGCGGCAGGGAAACAAAACCTGAGAATCACAGTGCAGCAGTGCAGGGGTTTGGGGCCAATTCTGTTTTGCAGAAGTTCTTGGGAGCCACTTTCCAACGGCCGGCAGGGCCAAAAATACCAGCATTTTTTTAAAGCTTAAAGCTCTGCAGCCAATGTCTTGACCTGAAAAACAGCATTTCAGCCTTTGAAAATTTGGGAAGGGGGAACCACCATTGTTAGTGGGGGAAGGGGAGCATCAGGGGTCCCTCGATACTAAGCTGTGAGATACTAAGCAGGCCGGATTTGGGCTCCAGGCCTGAAATTCTGCATCCCTGCCGTAGATAGTTCTTTGGCACTTTAATATGTATGGATTGAGCTTTTCTGGGCTACACACCATTACGGTGGACAGCAAAAAATCATCGCAGCCTGTTCAAAGGCAGGTGACCATCCAAACCTCGATCAGACTTGCAGGTTGGGTGACTGGTCGCAATCTCACTGTGGTAGATTCTCACTATATTGTAGAAAAACACATGGGTTTTCTACAAGAAGAACTGGTTATTGCTTTTCATCCAGAAATCCAGCTCAGAGCAACTCCTCCTGAGGATTTAGGTCCTCGGCTTGTTCTTTTGAACTTTGTGGCGCACTTTGCGCAGGCCCTGTGGTCGTCCCATTCTTAAAAAATCGGGCTGAGGGCCTCAGTTAATAGGCCCATCAACTAAAGCTTTTGTGCACTTCCTTTGTTTGCTTTTTAAAAGTTGTAGTTGTAATTTTTTGAAAATTGAACACGGATCAGTTATTGGTCAAATGAAAGGGGGTTGCTCATCTGCTCCAGTGAGGCTCTTAAAATGTTCAAAGAAAACGACGTCGCTTTCCCGCTCACCCAGTTTTTGGGGGCAAGTTCTGTCAACAGCACGGGGCTTCCTTCGCAAGAAACGTGCAGTGCACGATTGTGGCGACACGTCTTTGCTTCCCGGGGTCATCACATCCTGTTCGCAGATCCGCGTTTTGTGGTACTGTGGCGCCTCCCCCTGGCGTTCCAATGTACAACCAAAATAAAATTCCTGCAACTCGTTACGCCTGTTACAAAACCTCGACCCTGAGGCTTGCAGATCCATCGGGGCGGCCCTGCCACGGGCAGAGCGTGGCAGCTGGAATGGAGAGCAGGACAGGCCGGGGAGCTGAGCCGCCTGGCTGTGGCCCTGCCTGGCCCCCCGCTCACGGCCCGGCACTGCAGTGAGCTGCGGGGGTCCGTGTGGTGCGGCTCGGGGAGGCGCCGGCTCGTCCTTCATGCCAGCACCAGAATCCCCGAGGCCACTCAAGGACAAGGCGCAGTGGATTCCCTGCTGAGCAGGAATCGGCAGACCCCGTGCTCAAGTCCGTGCCTCAGTCTGCACATGGCCGGCATGTCGTGAGCGGAGCCGGCTGGAGCCGGGGGTCAGACTAGATGGCCTGGGAGACCCCTTCTGACTCGCTCTGTTTCTCTGTTTCTGTTTCAGTCACTCATCACCTGTGCCGGTCCTGATTAGCTCTTGGCCAATTTTAAGCTGCGGGGCATTTCTACAACTAGGCCTGTTCAACAATTTAAAACAAAACCAACGCAAAATGCACGACTCAGCTGGTTAGCGGGACCCCTCAGTCATCTTCTGGCATTGGGGTGTCACATGCAACGTGAAATGTAGGAACGCACATGAGGGCAAGGACGCCTTACTGGGCTCAGAGATCTATAGCACCTGGCCGGACCGCGAGCCCGTCACAATGACCAAAAAGGGAAACGTCAGTCTGCTTGAGGCTACTTGTCTCTGTCTGCCTGCCTGCCTGTCTGTCCTGACCTTGTGAGGTTTGTTGGAGCCAATCAGAAACGGTGTTTGAACAGAAAAGGGCATATTCTGGATGGCGGCTTGCTTGGCCAGGTCTTTCCTTAGGCCAGAAAGCCTGTGCTTACGCCATTACACAAGAACTTCCATGCAAGACATCAGGCATAATACTCAGGGAAACTGATTCCCAAGACAGCGGCTGCCAGGTTTTCTACTTGGGCTTACAGGCCTAAAGCATATGTGAGTTTAACTCTGATGAAGGGGCAAATATGTCTGGTGCTGATGATTCGGTAACAAAAAGGAACAGAAAAATTATACTTTGAAAGCAAATCAGTTTGTTTACCCAAAAAATGTAGCTATGAAGGTCTATTAGAATAATACAAGTTGAAACACTTACGGGAAATTATTTTTAGAGCAAACCCAAAGTTACAAAATAGCCAAGAACTTTGTAGGACTCATCTTCAGAATGAATATCATATGAAACAAACAACAAAATCGCCAAATAGCAAACGGATGCAGCTGTTTGGGGGCATGGTAGAAATGCCCCAGTAAAAGCCATGGCAAATTTTCAGCAAAAATTTGCTGAATTTCAGTTTCATGTGCATACTGTGATTTTGAAATTGAAACAGAAGCACTTATTGTATGTCTCATGAGAATGTATGTCTAGAAAGGCATTATAGTTTGTATGTGGCTGGGAGCACATGCTGAACGCTGGCATTAGACTGCAAAAAGAAGTGGTAATTGCGATCTGCACAAGGCCGTTATTAAATACACAATTGTCCCAAGTGTTGGGAGGTCACGGCAAGGAGGGAGAAGCACTTTTCTCTACCTGGTCAAAACATTGAAGGATGTTAGGAAGGCAGGAAGAAAAGCCATCATGCCCCAATGAGGTATTTATTTCTGCTATTTTAAACCCATTTAAAAGATAATAATGAGTCTAACAACGCAGAGGCATGGCAGGGCAAGTTAATGACTAATTAATAACTAAACATATTTAGAAGGCAGCAACTAACAGAGCTCAATTTTTAAATGGTTTCTGAGAAGCAGTCTTTGGAAGAAAAGGCTGATTCACCTTCAGAGTGAGCTACCAACTTCAGAAGCCCTGTTAATGGTCACTAAAAATGAAGTCGCACAGGTCACTTGTATACCATTAAATCAAATGTTTGAGAATGAGAGGACTGTGGTCGCTCCCAGTGGAGCCAAGAAGCACCCTCGTCCGAAATCCCGAAGCACTACTGTTAGGACAACAATCTTGTTCTTGTCTGGGCCCTTGTTCTACCTCATTTCATCCATAATGTTTACCTTCTCAGAACACCCCTCTTTGCCGGAGTTTCTGCAGCAGCAGGAGAAAGCTAGCTGCACCTCAAAACCTGTCCCTAGAAGTTCCTGCAGAATTTCACAGGACTTTCACAGGAAAAGTTTTGCTCTTCTCGAGGTACTAGGACCCAGAGACGGGTGGCACAGTGAACACAAGGCAAAGAAGTAGTGGGATAGAGGGGAATGGAGCAGAATTCTCAACCCTTTCCGCTGCTCTCAGTGGATGTTCCAGCAAATTAACACTAATCGGAGGCAGCGGCTGTTAACACTGTCTTGTCTTTAAGATATTAGATTCCCCGCCTTCTGCCTCTGTCACTCAAGATGATGGGCTAATGCAGCCACAAGAATGAAAGGCAATCCAGATCTCTGCACGTGATCGATTGCACCTTTTCACCACTCATCTGAAGCAGTTAAAGTCCAGTAGATTGCCTTTTGAACTAGGTAGGTTGTTTTTCAAAAATAAGGCAGAAATGACAGGCTATTTTTACCAGGTTGTATGAAGCAGCAAATCAAATCTGCTTTCGTTTTTACGTGCACCAGTGAGCAGTGGAACGCTTGAATGTCCACACCTCTATGGACATTATGGGTTGCTTGTTTGGCTGGGGCTTTGGTGACCTTCAAGTCACCTCCCAGCTCTGCATCCACCATCACTATCTTGGATTAGAATCCATGCTGCGTCGAAGGGAAGCAAAAAGGCAGGAAAGCAGGGGCAATCCAAAGGAAATGCAGACCGGGATCAGATGCTGACACCGCAAGGAGAAAAGGGCTGTAGGATGTGAGCTGCAGGCCACGGGGGCTATGATCCGTGGGAAGAACTAAATCACCTGGCACAGGTTCAAAGAGCTGTGACTACCGAAGCAAGCGGCAGTGCTCAGCCCAAAATACTGACTCAAAACTGCACAAGCTCTACCAACCAAGCGGAGACGCAAGGGTTTTAAGAATTCCGGAAGAGTCCTGCTGGACGAGGCCGGAGGCCTGTGAACATCAGCACCTGTTGCCCACGACGGCCATCCAGGTGTTCCCAAAAAACCCACGAGCGAGTCCAGCAGCAGCAGCCGTCCCTTTGCCACATGCTCCTCCCGATGCCAGGTATGCACTGGCCGCTCCGAACTGGACTTTCCAAACCTGGCCCAGAGCACTGAGCTATCTGTTCAGGGAGCTTCATCAGGTACTCCCTTTAACCACTTCGTGCCTTGAAAAAGCCTGATCAGGACTACACTCTCCACCCTTTCTTTAAAAAATGCAACCTTGCTAGACGGGGATTACGTGGCAGTCTCCAGGGCTTGCCTTGCTTTTCCTGACCGTTTCATTGGTCTGAATCGGGCACCGCGCTCATGCGCTCCGCCGGCGCTCAAACGCAGCTGCCGCCAAGCAAATGCGCATCGGGCGACCTCTCCTCTCCTCCCATCCCAGACCCAACCGCCCCCCGTGTCCGCGCCAGGCTCGTTTCCTCTGCGCCTTGCGCCGAGCGCCCCGCTCGACGCGCGTCAGCAGCCGCGGGAGAGCGCGCCCGGCCGGTCCCGCGGAGCCTTCGGAGGCGAGCGCCCGCGCGGAGGCCTTCAAGCCCCAGCATGCCCCAGCCTGGCGCAGGCCGGGAACCGCAGGCCCGCTCCGCTACGTCCGCACAGGCGGCATAGCGCCGTCGGGGGGCGGCGGCCAGAAGGCCCCGAGGGGACCGTCCGGGCTGTGGCTGCGCCAGGAGGGCGAGTCCCTCGCCGGCGTCGCCTCGCCACGGGCCGGGCAAGGCGCGTGCTGCCCGCCGCCCTCCTCCTCCTCCTCGGCTGCGCGTCGCTCGGAGCGCGCCAACGGCGCACACAAAAGGAGCGGGCGGGGCGGGCGGCGGGGGCGCGCCTCTGCTGATGGGCGTCGCGCCCAGCCAGCCACTCGCCGCCGGCCCCGGCCGTGCGGGCGGCGGGCCGGGCGGCCGAGCCAATCGCGCCCCGTGAGCGCGGGGGCGCCCCGGCGCCTCCCGCCCCTCGCCCGGCCCGCCCGGAGCGCCAGAGGAGGCGGGGCGTCTGCCAGGGGGCCCCATGCGCCGTGTGATGGAGGCTCAGTGTGCGAGCGGCCATTGAAGGGGAAGGAGCTGCGTGTTCCGCGAGAGGAGGGCGCAGGGACCCGGGCGGCGGCCGGAGAGGCGGCGGCGCTCGCGGGGAGTGCCCAAGCCGCCCTTGCTCGCCTCCCGGGAGAGGGGCTCGCTCGCTCGCTCGCGCGCTCGCTCGCCCTCCCCTTTCGGGCGCCCGCCGCCGTAGTTCGGCGCCCCTCCCTCGCTCTCTCCACTTTGGAGAGAGGCTTTCCCGGCTGGGCGGCACAGGGGGCGATGGAGATGAAGAAGCGCATCAACCTGGAGTTGCGGAACCGGGCGCCCGAGAAGGTGAGCACCGCCCGCCTCGCCCAGGGGCGCGCGGGGATCGGGCCCCGCGCCCGGCGCGCGCGCGCAAGAGCCCCGCGCCGCCGCGTGGCTCGGGGCAGGGCGAGCCCGCGCCGCTCTTGCGCCGAAAGTGCGCGGGGATGGGCGCGCCCGGAGCGGCGCAGGGGGAGACGGGCGCTCGGCGGCGGCGGCGGCGCCGCGGCCGGCCTGTTCCGAGAAGGCCCCGCTCTGCTGCGGAAGGGGGCCCGCGTTCTCGCCCCCGGGCGGCTTGTGCCGTTCACGGAGGGCTCGGGAACCTGATCCAGCGCAAGGTCCGCGTTTGCTCTTGGCGTCCCCGCGCGCCTCGCTGGGGCCGCTGCGCCCGGCGGGATCTCCCCGCGCCCGCTTCGCCCCTTGGCGAGAGTTCCCGGCGCTGTATAAATCGCATCGCGCTTCGCCCGGTTTCTTCTGCCTTCTCTGCCCTAAACGGGGGTTTGTTGCGAGCTTAGTGAAATTTGCCAACCGTGATTGAAGAGCCGAGCTGGTTAACTCTTCCGTTCCCGGCGCCGCCTTCTTCAACTCGGGAGATGATGGGCGAAAACTGGGTCATTCCGCGGTTCAGTGAAATCTCTCCCCGCCCCAAACCAAGTAAATACATCACCGTCAGCCTGGGCAGGATGCCTTTCCCCCATGGCGCAGGGGAAAAAACCGATTTTCGAATAAAAACTTTTCTCCACCCCTCCATTTTTTTCTTTTTGCATAGTTAACTGCTCTTTCGTCAAATCTAGGTCACGAGTCCCTCTTCACCAACAGTGGAGAAGATTGTGTTTTCATGCTTAAAAAATATCGGGATCGCTTTTGTTACCTAATACAAGATTTTTTTTTTAATCCAAACGTGTTTTCTGTAGGGTACAGAATCCTTAACTTTTACCGTTTTGATTTTGCTGTAACGAATGTACTTGGCTTTATTTTTAACTTCCCTGCGCAGATGCTGGTAAACAAGCTGTGTCTAATGCCGAATCCATCTTAGTCTGATCTACGCAGATGGTTTTGACTTTCTAAGGGAAGGAGGCGAGGACGATTTTTTTTAAAAACCCGCACGCACGCACATGCAGCCCCTCCAGACGAAGCATTGTTGGCGCATTCCGAATTGGAGGGTCCGTCTTCTTTTCTTGTAGGGCTGCGGCTGCCCTGCCCTGCCCAGCCAGCCCCGCCTGGTGCTTGCGATCTACCCCAGAGCACATGCCTGGGGCAGCTGCCCCTCCCCCTTCCTTGAAATCTCTCGACCAGCACTAAAGGAAAATTAGGCGGTTGCTGCCGCCCAGCCCCTCGGTTGTGGGTTGTCGGAGAGAGGAGGCAGGCTCCCGCTCAGCAAGCACGCAGAAGAAGTGGGGAAGAAGAGCTCGCGAGTGTCCGCCATCAAGGTGCGGGCAGGTAACTTCCTCCCTGCCGTGGAAGTGCCAGCAGCCCGCGGCTCTTCCAAGTTCACTTCCAGCGGGGCGGATGCCCATCCAGCGCAGCCGTAGGGGCTGGCCGCAGCCATAAATCAGCACGAACAGGTGCAGCTTTCCCTTTTGTCTTTCCTGGGCTTCATACTCATGGAGTCACGGCAGTTGCATTACAGAGTCGAAATGGCTCGCTCGATCGCCTGCCACATCGGAGGTTTTTCTCTGTGCACAGGGGGGAAGGAAGCCCCCCTTGCGTAAAGTTTGTGCAAAGCCGCTCACTTTCTTTTTATTTTCTTCCTCAAGATTCAGGCATGTCCCACAGCACCTCGCCGTGCATTGAAGTGCAGCTTCTTTGTGCAAAATACGTGGGATTTCTTAGGGCTGGCAAAAGGATTCCGGTGGCTCTCTGCCGCAGGAGGGGGAAGAGCAGCCGGCATGGCTCGGCACAGCTCAACTCCAGTGGTAATTCCTCTGTACCCTGCCATCTGCAGCAGGCGCAGGGCGATCATCTTGCAACCTTTCCACTTCCCTGCTGGTGAACTTGCGACTCGCCGCTACAGCCGATGCTCCTGCATTTAGGTCAGTAGGAACACTCGCCCAGGAAGGCACAGTTGCCCTTGCGGTGGGCTGAGCGGAGAACCTCGCTGCCCGTTTCCTGAGGGTTTGAACCAATGAAGCAGCAACTCCTGGGGTTTAGGAAATGCCGAGCAAACAAACAAATAAACTTCCACTTAGGGTGAACCCAAAAAAGGGAACCTGTTTGATACTTGCCTAAAGAGCATGTGCCAACGGGGCTTAAAATGCACCTGTACTGAAACTGCTGCTTTTTAGCTCTTAGCAAAAATGAACACAAAGTCACTCTTTAAAGAAATAAATAAAGTATCACACCTCGTGGAGAAATGTTTTGGGTGAAAGCAAAGTGCTGGGCCAAAAAACCCAAAAATTAGCCAAGCCTGCAGCCCTAACTGCATGCTTAAAATCCCACTGAAGATCTACTCATGAGGAAACACGAGAAGGATTAAGTTCGTGGTATAGAGTAACTGCCCTCTTAGGGGAACTCCTACAGCTAAGAGGGCATTTATTTACTTATTACCCTTTATATTTAGTTTATCGGCTACAAAGTCACCAAGGTAGCCTGTAATAAACTTTCAAACAATGAAAACATGAACATTAAGACCAGTTAAAACATTAACATTACACATCCTAAAGGCTGAATTGAAAAGATGTGTATTAGTGTCATTGGAAAGCATTTTATGAAGACAATGACACCAAGTTTTCAGGGTTCTGTGTATTCCTCAGTTCTGCACTACGGCAGGAAAGGCATGGGGTGTGGTTTTGGGGGAGAGGGAAACAGGGAAAAACCAGTTCCCTGAGAATTTAAGCCTTCCTTTTTGTTTTTAATAGTTTCTAGCTCTTATTGCCAGATGAGTCTTCCACTGGCGAAGGCTTCAGGGCCTTCCACAAGTCTTTGCCCCTTTTCGTAGCCACAGGAAGCAGAATTATGCAAAATAAAACAATACAGTCACAGGGAGTCCAGCTGTCTTTGTCCAGGGCTGGGGGTTCCCTCACTGCAGAATATCACCCTTGCTTATCGAATGCAAAGCACAGAGGACCCCACGATCCGTCTCTCCACTTCCTTCCCAGCACTCAAACACGAAGCATAGATCTCACTTCAGTAGGTAGTTTGGCTTAGTAACGAGACATTTTGAAAAATAAGATGGCCAACATAAAGGAAATTGAGCACAACTTATCCAGATCAGCCTGAAACTGAAAGTGGATGAACTTGCATGGACGGATGGGATTGTTGGATGACATCTGCTGACTGGCTGTGTTTGCATATCTCACAGAAACAAGAGTTGAGCCCTAACTCGAGCGAAAAGCTGCTCAGGCTTGTGCATTCCCGCTTTTTGTGTTGCCACTTTCTTTTTTGCTGTGCCTGCTTCTTGGCTTATTGTTCCGTGCAAGCCAGCAACTCGGGCTTAACATATTGTCAGACTACCTGACTGAATAATTCAGGGTCTGGAGTTGGCTTGTTTAGCAGTTAAGTAGAGTTGAAGCCAGTGTTCCTGGCAAACCAGGAACAGGCAAGGAGAAAATGCTGGTTTATTGTTTCACCGGCGTTATGAGAGGAGAGCCAAGGTCTCGTGTGAACCCTTTTCTGTTCAGAGTTAAACCATGGTTATGGGTTCCAGGTGAACCCTCCTACAGGTGAATCTGTTCGTTGTTGTTATGTGCCATCAAGTCAACTCTGGCTTATGGCGACCCTTATACCCTGGACTGACAGAAAGACAAGCAAGTGGGACCGAGAGCAAATCAAGCCAGAACTTTCCCTAAAAGCAAAAAGGACAAAACCGAGGCTGTTGCACTTTGGGCACATCCTGAGAAGGCCAGACTCCCTGGAGAAGCCCATCGTGCGAGAGAAAGTCGAAGGCAGAAAAAGAAAAGGAAGACCAAAGATCAGCTGGATTGACTCCATAAAAGAAGAAACAGTCTCACGTTTACAAGAGCTGAGCAGGGCTGTCCAGGGCTTTCTCTCATAGTGTAACCAGACGTTGGAGGCTCGGTGGCATTTCCGCCTCCGTGTGGATCTAGGACTGGGTGATACGTGCTTCCCTGACTTCAGACGTTCCAATGACCACCTTTTCTCTAATATTACAACAGAAACCGTTTCCCTCCACTAAATGCAAAGGGTAGGCTCAGGCCCTTCTTCAGCTCGGAGATGACGGTGTGATGTCCTTGCAGGTGGCGGAGCTGGTGCTTGACAACTGCCGATCTAGCAAAGGCGAAATCGAAGGTCTCAATGACACATTCAAAGAACTAGAGTTTCTCAGCATGGCCAACGTAGAGTTGACGTCGCTGGCCAAGCTCCCCACTCTGAGCAAGCTTCGAAAGGTGAGTGTCGCGCTGGACGAGCACCCTGCTTGGTTCTCTGTGCAGGTGGAATCCGTCTCGCGTATCTCATGTAAAATCAATTTCACGCACGCCACACCTGACTTCCAGGGAGCTCAAAGTTGAACGTGTTGCTTTCCACACCTTATCCTCACAATAGTCCTGTGAGGAAGGCTAGCCATAGTCCTGAGCGTTTTGGGACTCGGGACTCCGTGTTCACCAGAAGGCACCGTGGGCCCCTATTCAAAAGCGCTGCGGTTGTGGCTCCGCTCCGGAGCAGGCGTGGGCAGCCTCTCTCAGCCTGAGCCTCGGAAGCCACTTGGAGACGCTCACGGGGGCCAGAGCCTAACGCCGGGTGAGCCAGAGGCAAGACGGCAGGGCCAAAAGCGCGCACCTATTTTAGCCCAAAGATCTTGGGGGCCCCGGCTAAGTCTTAGGAGACACATTTCGCTGCTTTGGCAAGGGACCGCTTGAACAAAAGCTGGAAACCACCAAGCCGTTGCTGGTTAGGGAAAGAGTGCGGCCACCCGGGAAAGCTTTCTGCACCCTGACACTGTATTGCTCAGTCACCAGCAAACAGGAAATAAGGAATATTGAAAAACATAAATTGTGTTGTAAGCTGCCCCGAGGCTTCGGCAAGGGGCGGCATAGAAATGTTATAATAATAATAATAATAATAATAATAATAATAATAAATAATACAGGAATTCATTGTGACCTGTGCAACAGTTGAAAAATATACAAACAAAGTGGCATTATCTAATTCACCCAAAACATAACATACGTTAAAATGCCTCCAGTGCCGAGCAAGGCTGCCAGTTGTACGATGGACAATACCCTTATATGCACAAGGACACCGGGTACAGAAAAATAGAATAGTAGGGTCGGAAGGGGCCGGGAAGGGTCCAGCTCCCTGCTGGTGCAGGACACCAAGTTCCGGCACCCCATCTATAGGGTGTGCACAGACAGGCTGGACATGCACATGGTGGGCATGTCGTGAGCAGAGACAGCTGGAGCCAGGGGTCAGACTAGATGGCCCGGGAGACCCCTTCTGACTCACGCTGTTTCTATGACTGTCCAGCTTCATCCTGAATGCCTCTAGTGTGGGACATTCTTAAATTAACACGTGCCACCCTGCTGTGCCAACTCAAAACTGACAAAAGTTGGATGATATTTTTGTTGAATGAGCCCTGAGTCAGCAGTTAAAGACCCCCGGATTAGAGCAAGAGGGAATGGCTGCCTCACAGTCAAAGTGGGCTTCATGGCTCGAAGGTGCTACTCGAAGGCAGCTTTTATGGGTTAGGGTGGGGGCCTGCACCTTTCCGTTGTTTTCACTGCAAGGCACCACCCTTTAAGCCGGGACAGGCAGCTCATGGCCTCCGGGCTGAACAGCCTTCTCTAGTCTGTTGCAGCCCCACCGTACCACCAAAATCTGACGGCCACCAGGTGGGCTGGTGCCACCCCTTTCAGAAGTTGGAGATTTGCGTGCAGCCCCTGGGCCCTGTGAAGTTTAACTTTCTTTATCTCCTATATTTATGTTCATTTCATCTTCTAGCTGCCCTGTGGAGGTAGCTTAAATGGAGGGAAAATGCCTTTTTTTGTTTCATGCTAAGCAGAGATTGCAGCTCAGGTCGGGGAAGGTGCCTATAGGTTAAATAGAAACTTGAATAATTATGCAAGCGAGACTCGTTTGAATTGCTGGTGTAGTTTGGCTCAGAATGTCAAAATGTGATCAACTTTGCTTATGTAGATTGTGTTATATGATTTTACTAAAACAACAACTCTGAGAAGTATTGGAAGACCTCCGTCCTGACTCTGTGCCACTTTTGCGCTGCAGCTGGAACTGAGCGACAACCTCATTTCAGGAGGCCTGGAGGTCCTGGCAGAGAGATGCCCGAATCTCACATATCTAAATCTGAGTGGTAACAAAATCAAAGACCTCAGCACTGTGGAAGCCCTTGTAAGTATAAAGGTGGATGTGCAGCGTTGTCCCACTTGTACATGTTCGAAAGTGAGCCCCCTGCATTTGCCCGAACTCACTCCCACATGACTGTAAGTCTTTAAAAGGCTGGAACACTCTTTTCGCTTCACAGCAGCCTAATTGTGCAGTCAGTGGAAAGGACAAGGTAAAAATCCAGAAAACTGGGTGGAATGCAAGGCACAATTCTAGAAAACGGATTTAAGGAGAAATTACAGAGGAAGACAGTCTAACTTATAACAGACACCCTGGGGGGAATTAGGGCTTCGTATTCTAGACAAAAGGCAGACAGACCATAATAAGAGGGGTAGCTGCAGCGAGTTGTACGTTTACCCAAGATTTGCCTGAAACAGAAACAACCATTTTGTCTCTGCCACAGAAGAGACTTGTGGGTTTATAATTCCCATTTTGTCGTCAAGTTCTTTTTCACTACTGTTTCCGCACATGAGTTAACTGTTTGATTTTTATGTGGACTAGCATCTTGTGGAAGGTGTTGCCCACATCTCAGCACTAGCTGGATCTTTCAGCCAGTTGGCTGACCTGCTCCCCCATGGCTAAGCTCCATTGCTCAAGACATTAGTCAGCTACTAAGAATCACAAGAGACGCTCTTTAATTCCTGAAGCTTTTGAGCACTCAGCCTTCTTCTAAAGTTCCAGGCATTCCTAGTGAAATGAGGGGCTTGACTAGAAAATCCGTGGATGGTTGCTTGCCTGTGTCTGCACTTTGCGTGGCTGAGATGTAGATGCAAGGGACCCAAATATATGAATAAGTCCCCTCTATCTGATGGGACTTGTTCCTTGGTAAATGTATGTAGCGTGGCAGTGTTAATGTTCTTTAAGCAACAGTTAAAAACAGCCCTGGACAGCCAATGCCTGTGCAGAGACGGCAACTTAATAATAAAAGAGTTAAAGGAGTGTTTGGTGGTGTCTTTTGCTAGCTTAGAAAATGAATGGGCCTTTTCTTTGCAGCAAAATCTCAAGAACTTGAAGAGCCTTGATTTGTTTAACTGTGAGATCACAAATCTAGAAGATTACAGAGAAAGTGTGTTTGAGCTGCTTCAGCAGATTACGTATCTAGATGGGTTTGATCAAGATGACAATGAAGCCCCTGATTCGGAGGATGAGGAGGATGAAGGTAGTGTTACTAAGCCCTTCCTGCGTTGAGTTTCAAGTGGGAGGTTGCCGTCCCTGGCCAGAAGCTAAGACATCCGCTGGCTCGATTAAGGCTTGCCCTTCATGAGAAAGCTGCAATTTCCTGTGGTAGAGAATGCGCTCCTTTGAAAGGAGCCGCTTGTGCACAGCCACACAAGTCGTTTGGAATTCCATTTTGTTTCCAGCGTGACCAGTTACGCAACACGCACTCGGGCTCGGAGTGGGCCTGTGCCTGCAGAGCACCAGGGTGCGCGCATCTCCTTGGGACGGCACCGCCTGAAGCACAAGTGGGGGGGGGCTGCATGTTTGGATGCCCCCAGTGCCAGAAACGCTGGGGCAAGCGCTTGATTAAAAGGCCAGAGGTGGTGGTGGTGGGCATCCGGGCCCGCCGTTCCGGAAAGGGAGCAGTGCCAGGTGGAATGCGCCGTAGGCTGGCCTTTACATCTGAGTACGCAGGATACATGTAATCGCATTCACTTCCCTTCAGATGCAGATGAAGATGAAGATGAAGAAGATGAGGACAAAGCTGGTCCCCCAGGAGAATACGAAGAGAATGATGAGGAAGATGACGACGGCTCAGACTTGGGGGAAGGGGAAGGTGAAGAGGAGGAGGAGGAGGAAGTGGGCCTTTCCTATTTGATGAAGGAGGAAATTCAGGTGACCTTTATCCTCATTTTACTTAAGTACAAAACATGTAGGACGTGTTCACGTGAGGCGGCACCGCAGCAGGGGCTAATTAATGGCATGTGCAGGGTGCCCGGCGGAGGGGGGGGGGGCTGTATTGTATGAACCTTCTGAGATGATACCGTGCGAGGATTAAGCAACCCTCATGTAACCCGCCATCAGTTTGACCCCCTCTTGCACACACGATGGGTGCTGACGCTTCTGCTGGGTCAAAGAAGGCATGAAGTGCCTTAGCGTATCATGTGAACCCGGCCATTTGCACGTGTCAGCCCAGCAAGACCTCGGCAGCTGAACGGCAGCCAGCCAGGAGACGGCGTGTTCGCTTGCTCTTGAACGTTCCCAGCGAACTGGGTCTGTTCAGCCTGCGATTAGTTGGGGCCACAGAAGTGAGTAAACTCCCTACTTCTCGGCCGCGTACTGCTTCTAGCCTGTTCCTGGCTTACAGAACAACCCAGCGACTTGGGTTTGATTCTGGTCCCTTGGCTTTGCTTTGTGCGGGTCAAGCCTGGGATCCTGGGTGGTTTAGGGTGAAAGAACACAAAAGGTTTAGCCCAGCTTGTTTATTACATTGCAATTCTGAGCATTACTACTCAGAAGTAAGTGGACACCAGATTAAGATCTGTGTAAATATTTTCGGTAATACAACCAGTTAATTGCTTGAGTTCTATTGTGTTAATTTTTGAGGAGGATCGACATGATTTATTATCCTGCCTCTCAGGACAGTTCAAGGTGATTTACAACCATCCATTTTTTTCAGTGGATAAATCACTTAACAGCAGCATCTTTCCCCCTGCAGACCCTTCTATATTACTGCACCCCGTAATTCTCCACGTAAAGTCCTCTCTCCCCCAGTTTTCGGCCTCCCCTAATAATCTCCATTATAATTGCTTCAGTTTTGCTCACTGGACTCTTTGCCTTTGCTGCAATCCCACGCATATCACTTTTAGACCATACTGCTCTCGTCGTTGCTGTTCCTCTCAGCTGCCTGCCTGGTTGATTCATTTTCAGCCATCACATTAGCAACTTGGCCAGCATTCAATTGCGAAATGATGCAAAAGGCATAACCAAGACGAAAAACATTATCCCCAAAACAACTTTTGTTTCCACAATTATCTCACCTAACATTTCGTTTAAGAAAGTTCTTAACAGCTGCTTGTTCGATGTAGCACCTCCGCTTTATTTTCACAAACAAATAAGCAGCGACTTGCGCAGCAGATGGCTTTTACAGAGATGCCATGGAGAAAGGGTTTCGTTTTGCCTGTCCAGGGATATGCATCTCGCTCTTCCTTTGCCCGCGTAGTGCAGGGAAAGTTTGCAACTTGGTGGCCTGATCTATTTATTTATTGTAAAAAACTGTTTCTGCTCTTTTTGTATTTATACACTGTTCAGGTCAGCTGAGTAAGAAGGGATAAGAATTCTAGTTTTATAAGGGATTAATTGGCAGCTTTGTAAGTAGAATTGAACTTCTGAAAGCACCCATTTGTTTCCATCAAGGATGAAGAAGATGATGATGATTATGTAGAAGAGAGAGAAAATGAGGAAGAGGAAGGTATGCTTCATGTTCAGTCTACATGTGCATATTTAGATGTTGACTGTTTGGGATCCCAAGTTCCGTGGCTGTAACAAAAAGAGACTCCCATTGGAAGAAGGGAACTTTTGAATCAGCTGTTGAACCAAAGTGTGGTGAAGTTTGCATTAACTGGTCAGCTATGTGGTTTTAATGCCATCTGTTTTCAAGCTTTATGAGCTTGGCAGTGGCCGAAAATAGAAAGAAATGGTAAGCATTGGCAAGTTGGTGCTGTGAGACAGTATCAGACCTTCCTGCACTCCCTAATTCCTCACTGAAGTTGTGTGCGGGGTTGCTTAAACATAGCTCGGACGAATGGAGCACCGAGAGGCTATGGCGTACATGAAGCCGCCATTTTGAATATGCATCCCATGCTGTACGAGGCTGATTGGCCTGAGTTCCGGAATAACTCTTCTGTTCTTCCTTCCAGGAAAACAGGAGGTGGCTGGTGGGTATCCAGCAGGCCACAATGCAGCTGATATTTTACTTGAGGGGTCCCCGGGCAGGATTGGGAAAACCCTGTGACCCCCCCCCCCCCCGGTGTTGCAGGACTAGAACCTCAGTGATACCTGGCCAGTAGCTATGCTAGATGAGGGTGGAAAAGGTTACAGACCAAGACCTCAGAAGAGCATCGGGTTTGGGGAGGCCAATCAACATCACAACCTGAGCAAGCTCTCTGGTCAAGAAATCTTGGGAATTATTTGGATCAGAGAATTCCCAGCACCTTTTAAGAGCTCTGGTTTTCCAGGCTTCTCAGGAAAATGTGGTAAGAAAGAGTGTCTCGTCATGCCTTTCAATGGCCAGGAGGGAAGGGCTTGTGTCACTCGGATCTCGTGGTATATTTTGAGCTAGTGACACTCCAGATAGCTTAAAGCATCCTATTTCCACTTTTGTTCGGCCTGTTCTCACGCTAAACGAGGTGCCAGGATGCGGATGTGAGGAAACTGAAAGGATCTGCGTGCGGGTGCAGGGAACGCCAGTTGGAAAGGGGGCAGTTCAAACTAACCCACCTTCCTTTCCGCAGCTGAAGGCATCCGTGGGGAGAAGAGAAAACGCAGCGCTGAAGACGAAGGAGACGAGGACGATGATTAAGTTGTAGGAAGCGGAAATAGGACCAGATTTGTTTTTCTTGCAGGATACACAATAGAGAGATTCAGACGTGTAAGTCTCCATGTATCATAGGTATCCCTACAGAAGATATTAATGTGTTAACTTTTTATAGGAAGTGTGTTTTTACTATTTTTGCCCTTTTTATCATTCCGACTAAGACACCGTAGCCCATTATGGATCATGTGCATAGAGCCATTTTCACCCCCCCTTAACCATCAAACCAATTGGTTTCCTCTCCCCCACCATCTCCCCCTGGAACCTTTTCTCCCCTGCACCCCCAGGTCTTTGTTCCACCTACTGGGTTTTCATGTGAGCTGCCTATTTCTAGCCTCAGAGAAACAGAACAGATTATACAAGTTTTAATTCAGGCTCTGAGGACAGTACACTAAAGTCAAATATATTGCAGTGGAATAACCAACTTTTCATTAGAGAGATCAATATTGGAGGCGAAATCGGGGCTATTTGAAATTAAGACCTTGCATAATACCTCTATTGGCTTATTTTTAAAGGACGATTGAGGAATGGATAAAGCAGGCTGCATCTTCGATTTGCGATCATTCAGACTGCCCCCTCCTTCATCCTCCCTAAGTACGTTTGCATCTCTGTAGAAAAGATTTTGTAAGGAGCCCTTTCTGTTTGACTCTAGCTTTTTCCAAAAGCTTGAGGACAAAAATACCCCCTAGAAAGATACCATAGGAAAACCACATTAAGATTAATCCTGTGTTCCTTTCCTGACCATTCTATTCCTCCAGGGCAAATAGGACCCATATTTCTGATGCAACTTTCGGATTTTTAAGTCCTGAAAAGTTCAGTCTTTTATTAATACTCGTAACTGCATACAGGAAAGGATCTGTGTCATCATCTTCTAAACCATCAGTTGACAATTGTGCTAGTGAGGGGCGAAGGGGCGAGTTGCTTACCTTTGTGGAGAGGGAAACAAGCAAATAGCCAGAACTTGAATCTGAGGCTGTTTCCCTGCTCTGCACCATTGATGAAGGGCTGCTTGGCTGAGACTGAAAAGGACTGTGGGAAATGGTAATGGAACTTGCAGGAAAAAGGTAGAAGATTTATACGTACAACCGCAATTGACTGCATGTTCGCTTTCGCTGATAGGTCTTCATTTGTTTACCTCGAAGTACAGGTCCTGTTGCAAACCGTGTAGGGAAATTTTGGTCTGAATTCTGAAAAGCTTCAGAAGTGTGTTTGCTGCTACGCCTCCAGCACGGCGAGAGGAGTGCTTTGCTGGGGGGGGTGGCATTTCCAAATCGATCACGGATCATGTTTTTCTTTACGTGAGTTGCTTTTAAAAGGCCAATAGAAAACTGGACATACCATGCCCCTTTGGTTCTCATTTATGACTGCTTGTACTGTTAAATAAATATTTTACCCAAATAATACACAACTGTATTCAAGAGAGACTATTTTTTTATCTGTCCTGCCTAGGAGAAGCTGTCATTAATTTGAGTTAGGATAAACGGGGTATTTTTGCATAGATGGAATTAACCCCCAAAATAGTTGCCTGTGAAAATAATACATTACACGCATCACTCTTAGTGTGCAGCATCGACCTCTTAATTTAGGTTTGATGGCATTGCATTCGAGCAAAACCTAGTAAATTTTTCTCCTGAATGATTGAATGGTATAGCACAATTAATTTTAGGGAAAGTGGAATGCAGAAGGCAATTTAGTAGAAATTTTGGATATTTTTAAATATCTAAAGCTTTATCCCAAACCTGTTACTACATTTCTGTATGAATAATGAATTTTAAAAATGTAAAAAGCATACACTGTGTTTCCCGGAGGTTCTGTGTTTAATGCAGTTGCTTTGTGTTAATCCTGGTTTTTCAAGGTGTGTCTTTCTTCCATATTTTGTTTTCTAAGGTTTGATTCTATTTAGTTTCAGCAAAGTCTAAAATTTCTCCATTACCAAAAAAGAAAGAAAAAAATTCAAACACTTTGGTTAGCATATAATTCATCTCTAACATGTGCTCCAATGTGTACCATGCGTGCCAGAGGAAGGAATACATTTCTGCACATACAGGAACTTGATCTGACTCTGCTGTTGAAATGAGTGAGCAAGAGCCATGTCTAAGGATGTAGTAAAGAACAACAGGGAGTTTCAACTATTAGGTGGTTAGATCTAGATGAAATAAAACCCTGTGTCAGTGAAGGAGTGGCCGCATTTTTGCCAGGATCTAATTCAGTGAATGATGACTTTGACTGTCTGCATTAGACATTCTAAAGACCAAGTGGTTTTAGTCGAGTAAAAAAGCAAACTCACATGTAATGCATATTTAAACAATTTTACAACTTCTCCAAATATCTTTATGATAGTAAAGGTAACACAACCAGCTAAACACATTGCCACAGTTTTAAGTTGTCAGCTTGGTGTTGCAAACTAATAGGTTTTTTTTCCTTAAGATTAAAAAGAATTAACACAGAGCCTCTAGATAACTTTTAATTTTTTTGTTTTGGCTTGGTGGGTTCTTTAATGAAAATATGTAAGGGTGGGTTTTATATTTTGTAGAGATTTTGACCTACTTGAATGCTCTTTATATTGTAGTATGTATATAGTGTGTTCAATTCCTTTTCAAATTCTAAAAATAACATGGAACGTTGAGGTATTTTTCTTTGTGCAACTGTGTTTTGAAAAAGCCATGGCAGTGTTAAATAAAAACAAATTCCTACCGCACACTTCTGATGAATTTTAGTTGTAACAGAATGTGAGTGTTTTTCCCCGTGTGATGTAAATTTTAAATTAAAGATTTTCATTCTGAGCATTTGATGATCTCTTATTGGGCATCATTCTGTACCTTAACCTTTCAAAATTATTTGAAATTAACTCTGTAAAATCGTGGAGATCCATTTTCCTAAATCCAGATACAGGATGATCGCATTTACTGAATGGTGGTAACTTGCTGATGTGTTGGTTGCAAGACTCTGGTTTCAGTGGGGTGGGCCCGACTCTTGGCACTCTAAATGAGGGGCTGGGAAGCAGCGTGGCTCACAGACCTACTGATGGGTGGGGGGGGGGGCTTACCCCCACACTGTTATGTACCATCGTGTCATCTCTAACTTAGGGGACCTTTGAATGAATGCCTTCCGATGCTTTGTGTGCCACAGCCCTGCTCAGCTGGTCAGCTCAAGGCTGTGGATTCCTTTATGTCATCCATCCGGGTCAATTTGGCCGCCTTTTCTGCCTGGGACTTAGCCTAGCATGGTGGGCTTCTCCAGGGAATGTTGCTTTCTCTGGATGTGTCCACAAAACCACAGAGAAGTCCTAGACCAAGCCTCACCCAAAATACCACTCGAAGCCAAGAGCACCGAACAAAGACTCATACTCTGGCCGTGCCGTGAGAGCTGACTCGCTGGAAAAGTCAATTGTGCTGGGAGTGATCAGTGGAAAAAGGAGCAGGGGCAGCCCCAGCACCCGTTGGCTGGACGCCACAGAGACACACTGGGATGGACACGGCGGTCTTGAAGAGAGCAGTGCGAGGCAGCGGCCTGGAGAGCAGCGATCTGTGGACAAGGGTGGACCCAACCGAATGGGTGAGGACAGTGACGGATGCGCCTACAGTACCTCTTCAGTCTTGTCAGTCTTTGCTTCCAGGGCAAGTGCTGGCTGGCTTTTGAAGTGCAACCCGCCTGTCAGCCTTTCCGCTGGCGCAGTGTGTGGGCAAAGCCCTCCTGCAGCGCCACGGTTCACCCGCACTGTCCACGCATTGTGGCTGGCCTGGGTCTTGGGGAATCAGCTTTGTCGGGTCCTTTGGGGGGCAGGACCCGCCCTTCCCCGGGGCAGAAACAGCGCGGCGGGCGGGCATCCTGCAGCCCCCACCTGGCCGTGCTGCGCCCTGGGCACGACTCTGGAAACTGGGCTGCCCCTCGCAGGCCTCCTTCGCCGAGGACAGGGGAGCAGAGAAGCCGCCGCCGCCTCCGCTACTAGCAATCATCCCACTAAAAGGGAGCCAGGCAGACGGCCCCAGCCCCGGTAAACATGGGCGGCTGCCCCGCCGCGCCCTCAGCCAGGCTCCCGGCTGGGCGCCCGCGGGACGAGCTCAGCCAGGCGGTCGGTCGCGGCCGCAAACAGCCCGGCCCGGCGAGCCGCTCTCCGAGCACGGCCTGCCACGCTCCCGTCTTCCCCGGAATCGAGGGTGTGCCACCGCTTTCACCCGTGGCCGGTACTGGGGGACTGGGGCAAGCCGCCTCCAGTGGGTGCTACGCCCCCCCCGCGCGTCCCTCTCGCCGCGGGCCCGGCCCACGAGGCCACGCAGAGGCGAAAGCACCGGCCGGGCAGGCGCCGCTCGCCCTCCCTTGGGCGAGGGGCGGCCCCGAAGCCCCCGCGCAGCCGAGCGGCAGGTCAGCCCCGGAGGCCACCCCGGGCTGCGCAGCCGCGACCCGGGCGCCCCGCGCCCCGCTTTGCGCAGGATCGCCGGAGCGGGCGGCCGTCCGTGCGCCACGCCGCGGCGCGGCCCCCTCTGCGCGGCATCCAGCGCGCGCTCGTGCCGGAGCCACGGGCAGCGGCGCGGCGACTGGGGGGCGCGGGGCGGGCCTCCGCCGGACGCCGCTCGACAGCCCCCGCAGAGGCCTCCCCGCGGGGCACGAACGGCCCGGGCGGCCGCGCTCGCCCGCGATCCCGCGCAGGCGACGAGGGGCAGCGCGGATTGGCGCTCCCGGTCGCACGGGGCGCGCCCATTGGCTCCTGGGCAAAGGCCAATGGGAGGGGGCCCTGCGGGTGGCCACGTGCTATTGGCCGGGGGCCGGGGCCGGGGGGCATAAATAAGCCGCGCCGCGGCTGAGGGGCTCATTGGAGCCGAAATCGCGACGGCGTGGCTGGGAGCGTCACGGAAAGCGGCGTGCGGCGTCAGCCAGAAGGAACGTTCTTAGACAAACGATGCGGCAGCACGTGTGTTTTTAGGCAGGTGATGCCGCGTGAAGCTGGGGCGACTGCTTGATATGAGAAGCAAGTGCGGAAAGATCAAGGCTGAGCGCTGGCGACAGTCACGATCGCAACAGAATTGAATAGTTTCAAGGTGGAAAAGGGAGGTGTTGACGTGCTTGAGGATTGCACGTACCTTGGCTTAGTCATCAGAGCCAGTTGGAGGCCTTGGCTGCGAAATCCGAAGATGACAAAGCTGTAAAAAGAGCTGAAATCGCTCAGACTGGCATTCCTGGTCATGCAAGTTAGTGGGGCTTCGATGTGGAAGAAAGCTGACGGAAGAAACTGGAAGTCTTCAGAAGGCGGCGCTGGCATTGAGCGCCTGCAGTGACTCCGCGAAGAAAGCCGCGTGTGTTGGAGTTTAGAACAGGAGCTGAGCGGGGCTGTGCAGGAACAGGGCAGTTTCAAGAGCACAACAGAACAACTAGCCCAGAATCTTGGAAGCTTAGGTTGGAGAAAAGTAAATGGAAAGTCACTGGACCTGAGGGAAGACTTCTGTGCTGACCTGAGTTCCCCTGTCAGTCTGAGTTACTGCAGGAAGCATAATAAAAAGTTGCTCACTAGTTGAATAAACCGATCTGGGAATTAAGACTGTTAAGTTTTCTCAGTTGTAGAAGTTGCTGGGAAGACTAGAAATGGGTGGCTTTGCTAGCCCTGCACTGCAGAGCAGTAGGGTGTGTGTTGCGATCCATTTGTGGATTCGCCTGCTCGTTGCCTGTGGCCTGCGCAATGCAATGCCGGCAAGATGGAGCTTGCTGAGGCGATCTTGCAACGCTTGGCGTAAAAGGTGGCTGCCTCTGTCTGGAGCGCTTGCTCCTGTGGTAAAACGGCGCCCAGCCCAGGACCGCGGGCCCCGCGCCAGGCTCGCCCCGCGTGGAAGCGACGCCGGCCCCACCCGCGCAGACCGGGGCCCGCGGGACTTACCTGCCCAAGTGGGTTCCCGTCGGGAAGAGGCAGCCGAGGCGGGAAACGCTCCTCGCGAGGCGTTTCCCGCCAAACAACGCGGGGGGCGGGGCGCCGCCGGGGGATTGGCCGGCGGGCGCCTCTGCCCGCCCCCGCGCCAATCGCGGCCCCGCGCGCGCGCGGCTTTTCCCGCGCTGTCCCAACCGCCGCCGCGGCTGCGCGAACCGGGCCCGGGCTCGGCCCTCGGGCTTCGCCGGCCGTGCGCGACGGTCTCCCGCGCCCTTAGGCGGCCTGCCGGCCGCTTCCTCGGGGCTTCAAAGCGGAGCGTGACTGGGCCGCTCATGGCGAAGCCTTCGCCTGCTCCCCTGCGAACCCCCCCGCGGTTGCTGCCTGCCCGCTGCTCCGGCCTGTCGGCTGCCGGGCGCACGGCCCCGCGGGTGGCGGGCGGGACGCTGGTCGCCCTGGGGGGCGTGATCTTGCTGGCCTGCGGCTCCGCGGCAGGTAAGGCTGCGCGCAGGCCGCGCCCTCAGTCCAGGCGGGAGCGAGCTCGGGGGCAACCCGGTGCACGCGCCGAGAGGAGAGAATCCCAGTCGGGGCGCGGCCGGGCCAGCCAAGCCCGAGGCAGCCGGGAATCGCGGCATTCGCCTGCTGCCCGAATGGGTGCCAGCCTGGAGCAGACGTCAAAGGGTGCGACTCTGTTGCCAGCGGCCTTTGGACCCCCGAAAGCAGAGGCTTTCCTGGCCGAGTTGCTGCGGGATGAGAGTTTCCCCCAATATGGCGACCGCAGCCTGTGCGAACCTTTAGAGTTGTTCAGCTCATCGAGAAGATAAGTGAGGCTGACACTTGGATTTCCCGATGAGCGTCTGGCTTTGGGGTTGCAAAAGCCAAGTTTGTTTTCACCTCCTAGGAACATTGATGCTCTTACTTTCACACTCTGCTTTTCTGAGTGGCTTGCAAGCGTCTCCACCGGCTACACGACTTGTGAACGTTGTAAGCAGGGTGGTTTATATTTTGTTCACTGCCCGATCCGAGTAATGCTTTTTCAGCTGAGGCAAACCTTGTAGCACTGAGTATTTGGGTAAAGCCATGTTGGTCCCTTAAAGGATGGCTCTACTTTCTGTTCTAGGTTAGCAATAGTAATGCTCTTGTTACTGGACAGCCAGGCAGCAGCTGGGGCAAACCTGGGTGGACCCCAGACCTGAGCCAAACAGCCCAAGGCAAGACTTCGAGCCAAAACCAGCTTTATTCTAGAGCACTATAGAATGAAAGGGGACGAAAGCAGTGTCTCGAAAGTTTGCACCCCAGTACATGAATTTTATACCCTAGGTAACCAATTAGGTCACCTAACACACATCTAATACATTGATACATCAACGGATGCACCCCTCCTGTGCTGCAGAAAGAGTCCTTTCTTCTGTCAGGACCAGGCATTTCCCATTCCTATTTCTTATCTGTTCGAGATTCACACAGGCTTGCCATGTTCTTACTCCCTGCACATTTGCAACTTTCATGGTGACTAGAACCAGTTTCCACTGTCCCTTTGATTACTGTATTCGAGGTCAGGCTGGTGTGTTAGCTGTGGGGTTCACGAAGTTCATTTTGTTCTTATCTGCCCTCCCTTCTGGGACAGTATAACTGGTGTTTTTACTATGTGGCCTTCCTCTGGCCAACTACTTTTGAGGCCTTTCTCTGGCCAATTACTCTTGGGGTGTTTTGGGGTGCTGCAGCTGGTAACACTCTGAAGGTGTGGTTAGCACCTTTTATGAAAAGAAGAGCTTTAGATGTAGTTTACATCTTACATTTGCCAGTGAAAGTAGTAAACGTATGATTGCACCTGCTTTGGGACTTTAATTACTTTGAGTAGAATTGATAGGCTTAGCGTGGGAGAAGGGAAAATTAAGCATGAATGCATAGCCAGCAAGTAGCAATACTGTTGATGTTACTTGAGGGTTTCTTGTGACTCATTAATGACTGTGTGTGTGTGTTAAGATTCAATGCAGTGCCAGGTTAGACAGAAAGAAGTTATATGGCTCTCAGGCCTGGAGTAGTTGGACTTTTTCCCACCTACATATACCGGTTGCCGCAAGTTGTTTTACTCTGGGCTTCTGGCTGTTTATCGTTCGGAGCCAGAACAGAAGGGATGTGAGGGAGAGCAACCCTTTGTGTTCTGAGAAGGATTCCTAGCTTTTCTGGAACAGACAGAGCGTGTGAGGGAAGGAAGGAAAAGCAGTGAACGATACTGTAGATGAGAGGAACTGGATCAGACCTGAAAAGGAAGAGATTAGGAAGAAGCAAAGCTGTAGATGGAAAGCAGCAAGAAAGAAAAGACACAGAAAAGAGTAGGAAGCAGAATTGCTGCAGAAGTACACGTTGCATAGACGGGGGGG